AATAAGATGCGCAAAAAAACAAGTTACTCAGGACAAGCAACTGGATATGATTTTGGAAACAGTCAGATATTTCAGGTAGCATCCACGACCTTTCGTCAGTGGCACTAAGAGACTCAGTTTGTTAGACTTCAAAAGTACCAGTCCTCTCTTTAAAAGGATCATGAAGATTGAAGATCTTGGATTTGTTTAAACAATTAGTGTCTTTATCATTTTTCTATATTGAGGTAATTGTTATGTTCCAACTCTTCAACTCTGTCATCCCCTTTCCTTGTAGATGCTCTAACAAAGCCCAAAGGAAGACAGAAATCTGAAGACACAGGTCCTAACATTTATCAAAAGGGGATCAGGCACTTCAGTTCTCACTGGAAATATTGTATAAAGATTCACCAAGTCTTTTTTAATGTACAAACACCAAGCACATTGTTATATGTACTCAAAGACACAATGCCATCTACACCACTTGAAGTCCTTCTTTTACAGACACATTTATTAATTTAATATCAAAACAGCATGAAAGTGAGCAGAAAGGAAGCATTTGTAAATGCATTGTGGTACACCACAGTTTCACCCACTGTGTCTGTATAATTGGGAAGCTAAAATGTCACGGTACTGTAATATGTTAAACCCATGTCTGCATGTCCACAGCTGATGATTATGTTTTCCTTCGCAGAAGGAAAAAATATTGTTTTTGCTCAGTTTCTTCTTCTTCTTCAAACACATAAGGTCAATAACCTGGATCAGACGTCTGTCACCATGGTAACTGGTGCTGTAGCAAGACATATGGTGTTGGGTTACATTATGTAGCAGAACAGAGTTGGAGGGGCTGCTCACCATACCTATTGAATGTATTTGAGTGTGAGCAAGAATGAACCATGCAGTAGTTTGTTGAAGGTAATTATGATGTACGTTTTACAGGAATGTTGTCTGGGTCCACTTCCAACATGGACACCACGGAGCCGCTGGCGGGCGACCGGGCTTCCCCGTTGCTACGGAAACGGGGTAACCATGACGACCGTGAGGAGCCGCCGTCGGGTGTGTACGGAGTCGGAATGCGGCAGGGCGCGGCGGACGACTACGACTCGGACTTCGATGAGGAGGTAAGACGAGCTAACGGTGACAACGTTTTTACAGGCTCTGCTATTTATCGGGGGGTTTGGCTGTTCAACCCTCACAGCCAGGGCAGCCCAACTAGCCAGTGGCTATTACAAAGGGCTTGCCCTGCTGACAAGACATGACAAAACATTACGGTAACATATAAGGTGGCTGAATAATCTACAAAACAGGTCCGGTTATTCCCACAAACAGTTTCTCACTTGTGATTGTGGGTAGTACAGATCAGTAGCTGTGACTCTGACTTTGAGGAAGAGGTAAGACAAGTTACTGCAGCTGTTTTACTGATGTTACTCATTCCAAAAACAGTTTCTCAAATCATGACTGCTTGTAAGGGTTTGTGAAAAGTATTTACATTTTCTACAAGCAAAATCCTGAATTTGGATATCTGTCTTCTGTGTGCAAAATTAGATGACTCGGATGATTCAGATCAAATCCGACGATTCGGACAAAAAATATACAATCAGCAGCTGATGGGTTGTTTCTCATCTTAATGTTCACTTCTCAAAAGTTTGACCAAACTTTCGCATGGTCCTTTTTGGTCTGATGTTAAGAAAACCCTGATAGGTGGCATGAACTGCTCACGTCTTGTAGACATGTTGATGGAAAAGTCTGGTGACTTCCTTTGCACAGAGTCTGGGACGTCAGGGGGGTGGCTCAGTTTGGGGGGCCGAGCACTCTGGTCAGGACTGGGTCAGTGACAGGGACAGAGTCACGCTTAAGGACAGAGAAGGCTGTCCTGATGACACTGATGACACCATTGACGATGACGATGTCACACCACGACAAGAGCTGTCACCTGACGTCTCTGACAGTTCCTACTGTAACAACGACACAAAACAACAACGATCACCAGTACAGTCTGCACCAAACAGTGCCTGCCATAATAACGACACAAAACAACGACAACAGTCTGCACCTGACCGTGCCTACCGTAACGACACACAACAACGACCACCCGAAAGTGCCTGCCGTAACAACGACTCACAATCACCAGTACAGTCTGCACCCGACAGTGCCTGCCAGACACACAGACCCGCCCTTAGAAGACACACGAGTCTGACCCCGCCCAGACGCCCTCCCGCGGTGGCCCTGCACAGGCAGCGCAGCCTGGTGGACACGGCCATCGTCAGTACTGTTGAGGAGATCCTGCTTGACAAAAGGCATGTCAGGCGGGAAAGTTGGGGCGAATCGTCGCTGGAAGGTTCCACTTGTGGAGAGGTGACGGGAATGTCTGACCAGTAGACCTGCCTGCTTTGTGCATGGGTTAAGGCCAAGGAAAAAATGTTGTGTTTCCTGTTTCCCGACAAATCCTAGAAAAAACTGCCGACCCTAGCTTTTTTTGGGGGGTGAAAGGGACATAAATTTTTCGAACTGATTAACTTTTTCTAGCTCCATTGCATGTATCTGACACCTGAGTGATGAAACATTGTACAACATTGGCAATTAAAATATAACTGTCCTCATGCAAGTTTTACTCTGTATTGTATATTAAGTTAAATATGAGTTGAATCACTAGAGATTGCCAAAGTTCAACAAAAAAAAGATAATCTCTACCTACCGACCCTATTTTTTTAGAACTGAAACAGGAAACATAACATTTTTCCCTAGGCTTTTCTTATCATGGATGGCTCGATGGGAGAAACTTGAATGTCTTGGACTTCTTTGCATCCCTGACTGACATACAAAATTAATGTAGGCGTGGCCTGGATTTCCAGTGAAATCTGTGCATGTACATGTAGGACATGACGGTAGCAGCTTGCTGACATGGACATGAACTGTTTGTCTGTGGCCCTGAAGCATGGGGATGTACATGTGTACAAGCTGTGCAGACTTCCTGTGCAATATTGTTGGGCATGGAAACTTGCATGTGTAGTACTACTGGTGTACAGTATCCTCCAATGACTCTACAGTGATTCAGTTGTACATGTAGCCTTTGTAATGGATTTTAGTGGTGATGTTTGCCACTCAAAGGTCCGGCAGGCAGTAATTCATTCCTTTGGATGTAGAATATTGACATACAGAATCTGGTGGAACTTCTGGCAATAGAGGCAGGCTGAAGCCTGGTGAGTACTTCAGTGCTGAAGAGGTTTGAAATGAAACAATGAAACAATGGATCCTAGATCAAGCAAAATGTAATGTTTAAAGTTAAAACTTTAGATCCAACACAAAAAATTCTCTCACCTAGAGCTTTTGACCAGTCACTCTGGTCTTCCTCAGTAGACTGACCCAGTGAAGCTTGTCACGTGGCTTCTCTGAAGTGTGACGTCAACACTGGGTTATCTGGTAGACAATGATTATTGCACATCGTGTATAATCTCACCAGGAACAAATGCTCTGATCTCAGTTATACCGGAATAGCACACTTTCAAACTTATTCTCTAAGTTCTAACTGATGTTCAAGGTTACTGACTTGTTGTCCTCTGCCCTTCGTCAGGACCCAAACAACATCTCGATGTCTCGCGCGACGCGGGAGCGGCTGAACAGCAAACAGCAGCAGCGCAAGGAGGAGATACGGGCGGAGAAACGGGCGGAGAAGGAGAGACAGGAGCAGGAGAGGAAGGTGAGCAGAAGTTTCAAGTTAAAACTTTAGATCCAACACAAAGAAGTTCTCTCACCTAGAGCTTTCAACCAGTCACTCTTATAGTGTTTAAACCAGGCTAGCCTGTCACGTAAACCTACCAACACGTGTCATCAATAAAAGACATCCACATAGATAGAGACGTGGCCGTCTTAACCTGCTGGATCAAACTCACTACAGGTGGGGGGAAGAATATATCAGCCACCTCTCACAGTGTTAAACTAGGCTGGCCTGTCACGTAAACCTACCAACACATCTTTACAGTTAAAACTTTAGATCCAACACAGAAAGGTCTCTCACCTAGAGCTTTTGACCAGTCACTCTGGTCTTCCTCAGTAGACTGACCAAGTGAGGCTTGTCACGTGGCTTCTTTGAAGTGTGACGTCAACACTGGGTCAAAGGTATCTGGTAGATGATGTTGGCCCCTGTCTCGGTGTGGTGAGGGGCAGTCTGGAACTCAGTTCTAAGGATATGAACATTTGGACACTGCACCTTTGCAACAAGTCCCCACACAAATTAGTTGTTTCCGAAAATAGTTTCATCAGGTTGGTTAAGCATAGGATACAGCCACCTACATTAATTTTGTACATCGGCTACATAGCGGGAGAAGCATAACTTCAGTCAGAAGCTCTGAGGAAGGTGTCTGATAGACACTGAAACGTAAGCAAGGTAAGAGACAATATAGGTTGTGCAAAAGAAATTCCATTTATGCTACAAAGCATGTGAGTTTTTAACCCCGTATTTCTCTGCCAGGAACAGCTCAGGTTGGAGGAGGAGTGGAAAGAGCTGGAGCTCGCGAAACAGGCGAAACGGCGCCGCTTGAAGGTAGAGATTTCCCGACTCTCCGTGTGTGGGGTGGTGGTGGTAAGGTGGAGGGCTGACGTCATCATGACTGACTCATCTTTCAGTTTTCTCCACAGAAAGTGCAGGAAAGACTGATTGAGTAATGTTGGGTGGCACGAGTGTTTGAATGTGGACGGTCCTGTGTTTTTTTTTGTTCTACCCCCCCCCCCCCTCCTGTGTTGATTAAACCAAGACATGCATCACTGGCGAGTCCAGGCAGCTGGCTGGTGTGATTGGGGAACTGCAGTGCTCTTTCCCATGTTTCAGAAGAATTTTTACCACGTCAGCATGATTTATCAAGGCCTGACAGACTTAATTCCCCCCCCCCCCAGGAGAAAAGGCGTCTGGAGCGAGAACAGAAGCAGAGAGAGCAGGAGGAGTGGGAGAGGCAGCGGGAGGTACGACAGGCAAACCAGATACTAACCCTCGAACTCGCCCTGTAGCAGGACTAACCCTCCCTGTAGCAGCATGTGTTTGTAGCAGGACTAACCTTTCTGTAGCAGCATGTGTTTGTAGCAGAACTAATTTGCCCTGTAGCAGCATGAATACCAAACTTGTGGATACGACAGGCAAACTAGCTACTAACCCTCGAACTCCTAAGCCCTGTTGCAGCATGTTTTTGTAACAGTACTGCAGATCTACTAGTTACCTTCTTGTAGCAGTGTGTACATGTAGCAGGACTAACCCTCCCTGTTGCAGCATGTTTTTGTAGCAGAACTAACCCTCTCAACAGTTTGAGCTCCCTTCTAATCTGACTTTTCTGCTACCATTTTCCCTATTGGAAATCTAATGCTGTAAGGAATCTCTCCTATAGAAAATACAAACATTAGCACTAGAGCTACTATCACTTACAGTTACACCTTTGTACCTGAGACACCGTAGCCTCTGTGAGAACTTTGCAATGTTGATAGCTAAATTCCCCAACTTCTGTAGTTGGTTACCGCCTAAATGCGGATGCCTACATGGCAGAGAACTGAGGTCAAAGGACAACTTCACACAGTTTAGCTGCAGGGCGTCTAGGTTCAAGAACAGTGTTTTACCTTTTATTGTGAAGTTGCTGGACCATTCTTGATAATTTTTCACGTGTATCATGCCCCAATTCAGCCATGTAAGGCGGCAATGGTATGTGTGTTGTAAATAATAAATTAACCAGTTCATTCATTCATACACCAAAGTACAGAATACCGATTGACAAACACGTGTTCTGGTGTCTACCCTCCTCAGGAGCAGGAGAAACAGGAGAGAGAACGGAAACAGAGGGAGAGAGAAGAGAACGAGAAAAGGAGAAGAGAAAGAGAGGAGCGAGCGAGACGGAGAGCGGAGGAGAAGGAACGACAGAAGGAGAAACTCAAGCAGTCCAGTCAGATGGAGCTGGAGGATATCGGTGAGAAGCTGCTGCTGTTTTAATCTTAAGTTTACAAAAGGAGATGCAAACTGAAGGAAAAGGAGCTCTTACTCATCCATTTATCATGTATCTGTTCCAATGTTGTGGCATCGAACAGATATTGGTGAGGGACCTGCACGTATTGTTGTTTTATCTTAACAAAAGGAGATACAAAAGCTGAAGGAATAGAGAAAATCTATCAATGTATGCATATATATCATTGTTTAAAGATTTCAGTGTAATTTGATGACATTTTGCCCCACCCCCAGGTGGCCTGTGTATAATGGGGACCGGTCCATACGACCGTGCCAGGGTGTTTATTACTGGTCCATACGACCGTGCCAGGGTGTTTATTACCAGTCCGTACGACCGTGCTAGGGTGTTTATTACCGGTCCATACGACCGTGCCAGGGTGTTTATTACCGGTCCATACGACCGTGCCAGGGTGTTTATTACTGGTCCGTACGACCGTGCTAGGGTGTTTATTACCGGTCCATACGACCGTGCCAGGGTGTTTATTTCCGGTCCATACGACCGTGCCAGGGTGTTTATTACCGGTCCATACGTCCGTGCCAGGGTGTTTATTACCGGTCCATACGACCGTGCTAGGGTGTTTATTACTGGTCCGTACGACCGTGCCAGGGTGTTTATTACTGGTCCGTACGACCGTGCTAGGGTGTTTATTACCGGTCCATACGACCGTGCCAGGGTGTTTATTTCCGGTCCATACGACCGTGCCAGGGTGTTTATTACCGGTCCATACGATCGTGCCAGGGTGTTTATTACCAGTCCATACGATCGTGCCAGGGTGTTAGAGTTTATAATGACTGTTTTACCTGCACAGGTGGCCTGTCTATAATGGGGATGGGTCCGTACGACCGTGCCAGGATGTTAGAGTTTATAACGACTGTTTTACCTGCACAGGTGGCCTGTGTTAGAGTTTATAATGACTGTTTTACCTGCACAGGTGGCCTGTGTTAGAGTTTATAATGACTGTTTTACCTGCACAGGTGGCCTGTGTTAGAGTTTATAACGACTGTTTTACCTGCACAGGTGGCCTGTCTATAATGGGGACGGGTCCGTACGACCGTGCCAGGGTTCTGGACTCCTCACCTGTAGGCAAGCCGCCGGCGCACACACCAAAGAAGAGAGGCTCACAATCGTAAGTTCAATCTAGCCTGTCACAATGCTACATTTAAAGTACCACAATCATGTAAAATTGTGGATGTGTGAAAAGTGTTTCTGTATTAACCGGCAGGTGATGCTTGATGCCTTACTAGCCAACTGCTGCCCACACGTGTCAGAGACCCCCGCAACTGTATAATCAAAGACTTGATACTACAGTGTATATGTCTTTGTTTTTTCTAAGGCATGGCTGTTGTATGACATATATGAACTATCCCCCTCCCCCCCCCAGGCCAAAAGTGGGCTCTTCTCCGAGCACACCGTCGAGCCAGGTGAGCACGCCTTCGCACCGCAGCAGCTCGCTCATGGACGAACTTGACCTCAAACCCTTCACCAACCCCGACGCCGCGCTGCAGGACGCCTTCAGGCTCATCAACGACGAGAACTGGTCAGTACAGAACTTCCACAAAAGCACCAAGTTTCCACAAAAGCTTTCACCAATGTACCAAGTTTTCACCAATGTACCGAACTTCAACAAAAGTACCGAGTACCAGCAAAAGTACAGAGTTTTCTCCAATGTGCTGAACTTCAACAAAAGTACTGAGTACCAACAAAAGTACCGAGTTTCCACAAAAGTACCGAGTTTTCACCAATGTACTGAACTTCAAGAAAAGTACTGAGTACCAACAAAAGTGCTGAGTTTCCACAAAAGTACCGAGTTTTATCCAATGTACCGAACTTCAACAAAAGTACCGAGTACCAACAAAAGTACCGAGTTTTCACAAAAGTACTGAGTACCAACAAAAGTCATTGTTCTAGAGACAGCTCTTGCCATCTATCATGTATTTTACCTTATTCCCTCCTAGATAAAAATTTTTGAAATGTAGCGTAATAATTAATCTTGAATGTTGAATAAAGCTGATTTTACCCCGTTCCCAGGGAGGTGAAGTGCGAAGGCATCAGCCATATCCGCAGACTCGCCATCTTCCACCCGAAGGTCGTGAACTCCCGGCTTCACGACGCGATCCTCGCCGTGCTCACGGAGGTCAAGAACCTCCGCTCGTCGGTCGCTCGCGCCGCCATCGCCTGTCTCGGAGACATGTTCACCTACCTGAGAAAAACATGGACCAGGTAAGGATCGATTGTCTTTATTTTATGTATTTCGCCCATAGAAAACAACGGTACAAACATAGAAACACAAACTATACATACAGCATCTTATATACATTTTTTTTAAATAATTTCTGTACTGACAATCTGACCCCAGAAGACATTGTATTATGCTGTTGTTGGTGTTTTAATATAATATTAGCCACTTTTGTTTTGACACATTGGATTTTATATGACTGTTGACCACCAGCACCTTTTGTTGCTCGACTATATGTAATCATGTTCTGTGTAAATGTATGCTGGGCTCCATTAGAAAGCAGAGTCTACTAGCTGAATGGGCTACCCAGATGTTTTATGAGTCATTATGATGAAAATATATAAATACTGGGCAGAAACATCTCACTAATGTGTTGTTATGTTTTATTTATGTTTTAAGTGTTTAGAGAAACTAGACATTAAAACTTATTAAGATTACTTTTGTCCATAGAGTTTGTGTCCTAAGTTTGCCAGACACCTTGAAAAGAGTGTTGGAAAAATAAGGAAGGAAACAATTTAAGGGGTTGGACTTGTAGCACATGTTTTGTATTAAAGTCGGCTAACATCTGCCCTTCTGTTGTTGTAGGACATTGACCAGACCACCCAAGTCCTGCTCCACAAGAACGGGGAGTCCAACGGGTTTATCCGAGAGGATGTGGACAAGGCGATGGCAGCCCTGGCCATGAATGTCTCCCCACAGAGAGCTCTGACGGCACTCATCGCAGCAGGCAGAGAGTAAGTCTACCCTAACCCAAACCCTGGCCCCAACACTAACCCTAACCCTGGCCGAGCTATGTAAGCGTGCTGAGTGACACGCTATAACGTGGCTTTGACGTGCACAGGGAACACACCATGACGGCCGTCATAGGGTGCTGTATGGGGCACCAAGAACGGCTGTCTTTACTGTATCTATATCAACAAATTATGTGGACAGGTAGTAATAACCCACTCAAAAAATAGTTCAAGAATCATATTTTGTAGTGGTTGAGTTTTTATGACTGGCTGAGTTTACGAAAACATCGAATTATCGGCAAGTTCGTGCATCGCCCGTCGCTGACCGGCCGATCGCGGGACTCTTTCAGCCATCCATTCTACAAATAAAGGAAGGAACACTACATGTCCTAATCTGCACTTTCTTTTGTAGTATCTCCAGTAATAGTTTGTGTTTTCCTTTGTCTGGAGTAACTAAAATAGCTGTATAAACTCCGCGCCGCGCCGCGCCGAGGCCGGCGGTCCGCCATGTTGGTGCGGAGCGGCTTCAGACAGAACGTAGCCACTTATTTTGATACGGCGATACGGCGCGAGTTGTAGATGTGCTTTTGAACAAAAAATATGGTATGGAGAAAATAAAGTGAGCGTATGCATTTCACCGATTGTGTATCTTATAAATTTAGAACGTTCTGTGGGGAAAGTCGATGAAATCTTCCGATTAGAACTCGCGGGTAAATCCAAAGATCGAGTTGCCGTCGCCACGTGTTAGCCTGCGCGCCAGAACGCGGGCTTCTAAGTCGTTGCCGCGTGTTTGTCAGCACATCAAGACGTGTGGCGGTTCTTCACGTAAAACCATGTTGGTGGGTGCAGAAGGCCATCAAAAGGGTAAGATCTTTTTTTTTAATACAAATGTTTTGTGTATATCGTACTTACGGTTTTCATAATAAAGGAATTTTCGCACCTTTTTCGTTTAATATTCACGCTGCCGTTGTGGCGTGTTTACCCGATCTAAAACGGTTGTCACGTGCACATTGCATCGATCTCTCGCGGCAAATTTGTCAGTGGGTATAGGTGATTTGTGTTTTGATGTTGCATTTTGGAATTGTAGTTTTCGTATTTACAACGAAGTTTTGCATTTTAATCAGTACCGTGAAACGATGGTGTATTTTGGGAGGGTTTTTTGCGCTCATAATTGATGTAGTTTGTTCGTAGATTATGATATTTTTGTCCTGATTTAAATGAGAAATGTTTACTGTTTTTTTCAGCTGTGTTATCAGAATCACAGAAATTTTCCCGGATTATATAATATACACGCTGTAAATGACTGTATGAATTTCATATATATCAGTTATATATATATGTTCATGTTCTAAGAACCAAAATCACATAATT